AGGCGTGCTGTTGCTCAGGTGAGAAGGGCTGCTGTGTCCGTCTCCCATATGCGTGACTTCTGTCTGAACTGGCATATGGGCGGCCCTAAAGCCGCGGCACAACGAGGATTTAGGCGTGCTGTTGTTCAGGTGAGGAGGGCTGCTATCGCTGTCTCCCATGTGCGTGACTTCTGCCTGACCTGGGATACGGGCGGCCCTAAAGACGCAGCGCAATGAGGATTTAGGCGTGCTGTTGTTCAGGTGAGAAGGGGAGCTGTTGCCGTCACTCCCATATAGAGAGGGATGTCCCAAGAAGCGCCTGCGGCTAGAGTTGGAAAACACATGTTGAGAAATGAACTACTGTCGGCACCAGAACATAACGCACCCTGATAATAAATGTATGAAAAGTTAAAAACTATGTTTCTGTCCTGATACGGTCAAAATGAGGGTGCGTTGCGTTTGGTGGAAGAAGGTAGGGAAGTTTCAGCGAAGAGGGGGGAGTAGTGAACGACAGAGGGACGGCAATGAACTAAAGATGCGGGAGTAGCAATCAACGTAAACTAACTAGAGGAGGTGTGGGAGTAAGCAACTAGAGAGGGGTAATCAAACTTGAGAGGGGGAGTAATCAACTTATTGAGGGGGCGTAATCAACCAGAGAGGGGGGGCGTAATCAACTAGAGAGGGGGGCTGTGATCAACGAGAGAGGGGGGGCGTAATCAACTAGAGAGGGGTAGTAATTAACTAGAGAGGTGGGCGTAATGAACTAGAGAGGGGTAGGTAGTAATCGACGAGAGATGTGGGAGTAATCAACTTGAGAGGGGGGGAGTAATTGACGAGAGAGAGGTAGTGATTAAGCCACCGGTACTACTTGCTAAAGGCGTGCCCGTTAACAAGCCAGGATTTTAGGAAACGTATGGGCCACTGCAGAAGTGCCCAAATTCATCTGACTGGAAACGTTTCTAGTCTGTTTTTTTTTCCTTTTTCTGCGGCTGATAGCTGGGCCAAGTATTGGTGGTTTAACTAAAGAAGACATGGGAGTGCACCTCCACCAAAAAAAAAAAAAAAAGAAAAAAGAAAAGAAAAGAAAAGAAAAAAACGGAACTTAGAGAGGGCAAGTAACCGACTAGAGAGATTGTGGCCCATGGGGGGTAATTAACTGAAGGTGTGGGCGTTATCCCTCTTTACTCGCACACTGACTTTTCTACGAAGCTCTGGACGTGATTGCGGTCAGATTCATCCAGGTTTTGCCGTATTTGCGGTCAGATTCATCCAGGTTTTGCCGTATTTGCGGTCAGATACATTTAGGGAAGTGCTAGTGTGAGTATGCCCTTTAGAGAAGGGGAGTAAGGCCAGTGTTAATTTTTATTTTCCTTATGTTGTTCTGTTTTTCTGTTCTTTGGTCTTTGCGTCGAGCAGCAACTTTTTGGGCTTGTTTTTTTTTTTCTTTTCTTTTTTTTTTTGAATAAAAATTTGGACCATTTCTCGATTTATGCGTGTCTTCCTTCCGCAGGGGCCATTTGCTAATTTACCCTTCTCTGTATCGTTCCAATTTTTAACGGATGTCCCGAAGGACAACTTTTTGGGCTTGTTGCTCTCTTTCTTTCTTTCTTTCTTTCTTTCTTTCTTTCTTTTTTCTTTTTTTTTTAAAGGGTCAACTTTGGTACAGTCACAAGAACAGTTTGAGATTACACTTCAGGCATTCCCCCGAACATAACCCACCCCCATGCAAGCGTACCTGACCGGAAAGCTAGCTTGTATACATTGCAGGAAGTGCAATATTTGAAACTCTTTTTTGCCAGAAGTGTATTTTGGTATTTTCAAACTCTTTTTGCGACTCCCCCCTTTTTTTTTTTTTTTTTTTTAATTCTGTTCATCTGGTTGGTTCCATCCGGATTCGAACGCAGGTCTTCACTTCAAGAGCTGATGGGTGTAGCAACTGAGCTAAAAACGAAGGGGAAAAAAAAGAGAGAAAAAAAAAGATCTAAGCCCGTCGGCGCGCTTGTTTTTTTTCTAAGCAAACCAGTGTCCTTGCTGGGAGTGTGGTACGAGCACTCCCTCCTAGCAAGAATCCCGCTTGTTGCTTTTGTACTGTGTTCTTCTTTACCCCTTGCGAAGGGCAGACTCACACTAGAGACACACAAAATCGCAGAAAAAAATCCCAAAATCAACGGCCAGATCCAGTCCTCCTAATCGAAGAACTCGATCTGGCCGCTCATTTTGCTACTCTGTGATTTTGTGAGCCTAGTATGACTATGCTCTAATTGGTAGATTGCCCCCCCCCCCCCCCCCCCCCCCTTCTCCCCCTCTGGAGTCGATTTCACGGGCGATGGCTAGTGTAAATGCTACACTACGCTCGCGCACCCTACTGAACAAGGAAAGGTTGGATGGCCCGGTCATTATCACTGTATCTAGACTGCAAGTTGCACCAAATACAGCTATGATGTCCGGGCGTTCTATTCGTTTCAAGACGGTAGCACTCGCTCCTGAAATAGCAAATGTCGGGACTCTCCGGAACAATTAGTCCAGATGCACTGAACTAAAAAACTGAAGAAAAACTGACGTGTCGTGATCGGAACAATTAGTCCAGATCCACTGAACTAAAAAACTGAAAAAAAACTGACGCGTCGTGATCGCCCACCAAGTGGATCCACTGAAAAAGCGGCGGCACCCAAGAGCCTAGCTCAGTGGGTACACCGATGGACTGATGAACTGTTGAAATACAGACCTGTGTTCGAATCCAGATGACGAAACTTGATGAGTAAAACCAACTACTAATGAATTGCTTGGGGCCGGTCAGCTAAATGATAATATCTCAAGGCCCTCAAGCGGCGGCTAGTTGGTACCCACTGCCGGTACAGGGGGGGAGTGGTGGTTATAGAACAGCAGTACCTCTGAGGGTAAGCACCGGTACCAGCGCTTGTGCAAAAAAATCGAGTGTGCTACCAGTGCAGGCCGCCTTGGGGGATGGAGTGCTTGGACCTTTCGGCTATATAGCAGCAGAGGGAACAACGAGAGGAGGCCGTCGATTTCACTCACCTGCCACTGCAGCTGAGCTCTCCACAAATCCAGCCCCTGTATCTGGACCAATTTGAAGGCCTGATACAGGCAGAACAAAAAATAAAAAAGAACAGAAATTGAGCGGGGCCTAACAGCACAAGTCGACAACACGAGATGGCAAAATGATAAAAGAAGAAAAAGAAAGAAAAAAGGAAAAAAAAATTCAAAAAAGGGTTGATGGACATAGCATCCCTCCACCGTCAGAAGTCCGCGTCTCACTGTTTCTGCTGTGAGAGAGGCGGGCAGGAAAAAGACATGCGATCGCAGTCTGATTCGTGGAGGTCTGGCCCAACTTGCACCTGGCTGCAATTGTGCCCCTACCTGGAAGAACCTGACTGCAATCACGTCCAGGACTTCGTAGTAGTAGGGCCTGAGCTAAAAAAAAAAGAAGGTTTGTGAAAGTCTATATAATAATAATAATAATAATAATAATAATAATAAAATTGCGAATCTCTTTTCATCACGGATCTCTTTTCTTGTTTCTTTTCCCTACCGGACCGGGAGCGGAGGGCTTGAGAACCTTCACTCCGAAAGCCCTGGACGTGATTGCAGTCCTGGACAATTCGTCCAAGTCTGGCCGCAATTGCAGTCGGAGCAAATTGGGCCTGACCTAAATGAATCGGAGTGCAATCACGTCCAGAGAGAGCTTTACAATGAGAGTCCGCTGTCTTTTCCTTTCCTCTCCTCTCCTGTGTTTGTTTCTTCTCCTTTGCTGGCGTCTTTTCCTCTGGCCCTCCCGTGCGAGGCGGGCTCTGATGACACTAAGGGGACGCCATTCTCCCGGCGAGACCTTGTTCCCCTTTCTTTTTTTTTTTTTGCATTTTTCTTTTGTCTACGCATTCTGTACCTGTGCTCGTGTTTCCACATCTGTGCTCGTGTTTCCACATGCACAACATGAACCAGCAGGACGATGTGAAGCTCATTTGCTCCTTTTCCTTGGGCCCGCCGGCTTCCTTCCCCATTGCACTACCGAGGCTCCCTGAGCCCTGAAATGTCGACCAGGCGACAATATTTTTTTTCAGCAACGCTGAAAGGGGCCGTCTGCTGGTGGTTTAAGGGCGCAGAGGTCGGTATCAGGTAGGTGGAGGTAAATATGCGTTTGAAACTAGGCTACCAGAGTGGCCCGGGTCCACTTGCCCGGCCGGGCTAAAAAGAAATAAAAAAATAAAAATTAAAAATTATTGTTTTTAATTAATTTTCTATTTAAAATTCGGTAAAGAATTTCGATGTGACCCTGAGGCAAAAGTTGTTCAGTTTATTTTTCTGCATAGCATAGTTTTTTTTTTCGGATTTTTTGGATTTTTTTTTTTTTTTTTTTGGCTGGGACCTTCCCTAGTCCTTGCACGGCCGGGCCGCCCGGGAAAATAGGGTGATCCGGGCGGCCCGGCTGGTAGCCTTGGTTTGAAACCCCTTGTACACGTGGCGGCAGTGTATTTTAGGAGTGCATATGGCAGTAAGAGGGGGGGTGGGTTGGGTGAGATCAGCTGGGGGAAAAGAAGAAATACCCAAATTCAAAATGATGTTAGTGCTGTAGTCAAAAGGGGGCCTCGCGCCACTGCTCACCACATGCACAAAAGACAAAAATTATGGCGGTGCATCTTTCCATGTTCTATGGGAAGATTCATTCTCAGTTTGCTCAATCGGCCAGTAGTGGAGGGAGGTGCAAAGGCAAATCCAGGGAGGGGGGAGGGTCTGCCTGCGCCTATGACGATAACAATTTTGGGAATTGTGGGAAGCCTGGTGGAAGTCAGAGAAATGGGGTCCCTGACTTATCTGTAAAAACTTAAAAAGTCGAACTGCTGCACTATCGGTAGAAGGCGGGAGCGAAGTTAGGGTTTTGTTGTTTGATGTGGTGATGATCGTGTGAATTAATATCTTGTCCTGCTCCATGCTACGCCTGGCGGTCCTCGGTTGTCGTCGGCGTGAACAGAACACAGGGATTCCTTGCTCTGTTCGCAGGAGATACCGGCGAAATCAGATCGGAGGTGCGCGAGCAGATCGACGGCAAGGTTGCGGAATGGCGGGAGGAAGGGAAAGCGGAAATCATTCCGGGGGTGCTATTTATAGACGAGGTTCACATGCTTGACATCGAGTGCTTCTCTTACCTGAACCGGGCGCTGGAGAACGAAATGGCGCCAATCTTGGTAGTGGCGACGAATCGCGGCATTACCCGAATTCGAGGGACAAACTATAAGTCGCCGCACGGGATTCCCATCGACCTCCTCGACAGGCTGCTGATCATATCGACGGTGCCGTACACGGAAGACGAGATTCGGAAAATTTTGGACATCCGGTGCGAGGAGGAAGACGTAGAGATGACAGATGACGCTAAGGAATTGTTGACGAAGATCGGCTATGAGACGACGCTCCGGTACGCCATTCACCTCATCACCGCGGCGGCACTTGCTTGTCAGAAGAGAAAGGGCACAGATGTCGACGTGCAGGATATCAGCCGTGTGTACTCCCTTTTCGTAGACGTGAAACGGTCAACGCAGTTTTTGACGGAGTACCAAGAGCAGTTCATGTTTAATGAGGTAGGCCCGCCAGAGGATGAAGACGGAGCAATGAACGAATGAGCACGGCGAATGCGGATCGTGGCAGCGGATATGGTTCATATTGCTATAATGAGGTGAATGCACGGGGTGGAGACAAAGCGGGAATGATGAATGAGCACGGCGAACGCGGATCGCGGCAGCGACTANATGGTTCATATTGCTATAATGAGGTGAATGCACGGGGTGGAGACAAAGCGGGAATGATGAATGAGCACGGCGAACGCGGATCGCGGCAGCGACTAGGTGCATCGGGTGTACTGGGAATGGTTCATATTGCTATAATGAGGTGCTTGCACGGGGTGGAGGCAAAGCGGGAATGATGAATGAGCACGGCGAATGCGGATCGCCGCAGCGACTAGGTGCATCAGGTGTACTGGGAATGGTTCATATTGGTATAATGAGGTGCTTGCACGCGGTGGAGACGAAGCAGGAACGATGAATGAGCACGGCGAATGTGGATGGCGACAGAGACTAGGTGCATCGGGTGTACCGGGAATGGTTCATATTGCTATAACGAGGTGAATGCACGGGGTGGAGACAGCGGGAATGATGAATGAGCACGGCGAACGCGGATCGCGGCAGCGACTAGGTGCATCGGGTGTACTGGAAATGGTTCATATTGCTATAACGAGGTGCTTGCACGGGGTGGAGACAAAGCAGGAACGATGAATGAGCACGGCGAATGTGGATGGCGACAGAGACTAGGTGCATCGGGTGTACCGGGAATGGTTCATATTGCTATAATGAGGTGAATGCACGGGGTGGAGACAAAGCGGGAATGATGAATGAGCACGGCGAACGCAGATCGCGGCAGCGACTAGGTGCATCGGGTGTACTGGGAATGGTTCATATTGCTATAATGAGGTGGTTGCACGGGGTGGAGATGAAGCAGGAACGATGAATGAGCAGTGGAAGGGGGAAATGTACAACGCCTTCGTGCTGACGACTGCTGTTGCAGGCAGGTAGATGGGCCAGGGACCGTGGATATAACCGACGAGGTGCACATTGCATGGCGAGAGAAATGGGAAACAGTGGATGCGTGAGTAAGGGGCAGTGCTGCTGGCGAAGCGGGATGGGATGTGGTGTGTCTTCCCCCTTCCCTTTTTCCATTCGTCAAACTGATCGGTTTTGGAGTGGCTGATCCAGTGTTATTCTCGAAGGGTTCCCATGTAGAACATTCACTGGAAGGTTCACTGTTTTGGCTCGGCAAGCATAACCAGCAGTCAGGGAGGAAGCAGGTAGGAGGATGTGTGTGTGTGTGTGTGTGTGTGTGTGTGTGTGTG